AAAATGGGAATTAGCAAAGGGAAAATGGGAATTGTTAACAAAGGGAAAATGGGAATTAGCAAAGGGAAAAATGGGAATTGCCAAAGGGAAAATGGGAATTGTTAACAAAGGGAAAATGGGAATTATCAAAGGGAAAATGGGAATTACCACAGGAAAACTGGAATTCCCAAAGGGAAAATGGGAATTACCACAGGGAAAATGGGAATTACCACTGGAAAATGGGAATTATCAAAGGGAAAATGGGAATTACCACAGGAAAATGGGAATTGCCAAAGGGAAAATGGGAATTCCCTTGGGGAAACGGGAATTCCCTCAGGAAAAAAATGAGACTTCCCTCTGAGAAAATTCCCTCAGGGAAAATGGGAATTCCCTCCGGGAAAACAGGAATTCCCACAAGGAAATGAGAATTCCCTCCGGGAAAATTCCCTCGGGGAAAACAGGAACTGCCTCTGGGATTTGGGGATATTTGGATTCTGTAATCCTGGGATTTAGGGATACTGGGATTCTGGGATAATTGGATTCTGGAATTCCAGGAAACTGGAATTCCAGAACTCTGGGATTTTGTGATTCTGGAATTTTGTGACACCTGTGGATACGTGCCAAGAGCGTCCAGCACGTATCTGTGTGTCCATATCTGTCACTCAGTGTCCCCAGGTGTCCCCAGATGTCCCCCAGGTATCCCTAGGTATCCCCAGGTGCCCCCCAGGTGTCCCCCACGTGTCTCCAGGTGCCCTCAGGTGCCTCCCACGTGTCCCCAGGTGCCCTCAGGTGCCCCCCAGGTATCCCCAGGTGTCCCCCACGTGTCTCCAGGTGCCCCCCACGTGTCCCCCACGTATCCCCAGGTGCCCCCCACGTGTCCCCCACGTGTCCCCAGGTGCCCCCCCGACCTTGTAGACGTCGAAGTTGTCGATGATGGCGTCGAAGCAGGTGTAGAGGTCGTTGAGCAGCGTCACCACCTGCATGGGGGTGCTCTGCGCCGACAGCGCCGTGAACCCCACGATGTCGCTGAAGTAGATGGTGACGCTGTCGAACGCCTCCGCCTGCACCGTCTCCCCCCGCTTGAGCTGCTCCGCCACCGAGCTGGGGGGGCAGGGGGGGGTCAGGGTGGGCACAACCCCCCCGGGGTACCCCCAAAACCCCCCCAGGACCCTCCCCGAGCTCACTGGGGCAGGATCTGGTAGAGCAGAGCCTCGGCCTTGCGCTTCTCCTCCAGGTAAGCCTGGGTGCGCTCCTCCACCAGCTCCTCCAGGTTGTTGGCGTACTGCTCCATGCGGGTCAGCAGGTTGTCCAGGATGTTGGTGCTGCTCTCCCTGCGGGACCGGGGTCACCTCCCGCACGGGGACACTTTTTGGGGGTCACCTCCCACCCTGGGACCCTTTTAGGGGCGGTCACCTCCTGCCCGGGCACCCTTTTTTGAGGTCACCTCCCACCCAGGAATCATCTCGAAGTCATCTCCCACCTGGGGACCCTCCCTGAGGATCACCACTCACCTGAGGACCCTTTTCGGGGTCACCTCCCACCTGGGGACCTTTTCGGGGTCACATCCCACCTCGGGATCTTTTCGGGGTCACATCCCACCTGGGGACCCTTTTTGGGGGTCACCTCCCACCCGGGGATCCCCTCTGGATGTCACCCCTCCTCGGGGTCACCCACCCGCTCAGGGACCCTCTCTGGAGACCCCTCCCACCCCCAGGGACCCTTTCTGGGGGTCCCCCCCGGCCGAGGGTCGGGGGTCCACGGCGGCACCTGTTGAATTTGCGGAGCTGGACCTTGATCTGGTTGAAATCGGGGCGCTCCAGGACGTCCTCGGCCCAGCAGTGCTGCATCAGCTGCCCCAGCTCCTCCAGGTGACATCCCACGTTGGCCGAGGGACGGAAGCTCGGCCGCTCCCCGCTCTTCACCCGCTCGATGATCTCTGCGGGGCCGCGACACTCAGGGAGGGCAGCGCCCACCGGGACCCGTCAGAGGGTCCAGGAACCCATTAAAGGGTGCAGGAACCCATAAATGGGTGCAGGAACCCATCAGCGGGTGCAGGAACCCATTAAAGGGTGCAGGAACCCATTAATAGGTCCAGGAAACGAATAATGGGTGCAGGAACCCATAAATGGGTGCAGGAACCCATTAAAGGTTCCAGGAACCCATTAAAGGGTGCAGGAACCCATTAAAGGGTGCAGGAACCCATCAGTGGGTCCAGGGATCCATTAACAGGTCCAGGAACTCGTCAGTGGGTCCAAGACCCCACCAACACCCCCAAAAACCCACCCATGGTCCCAATCACCGCCCAGCCGGTCTGGCCACCCCCAGCAGCTCCCCGGGGTGCCCCCCCACGTGTCCCCAGGGTGTCCCCCCCGTGTCCCCGTGTCCCCGCTGACCCTTGGGGCTGAGCTCCATGCCCTCCACGTAGAACACTCCGCAGCGCAGCGCGATCTCCTGCAGGATGATCCCGAAGCTGTACACGTCTCCTTTCTGCGTGCCCCGAGCCGGCGGCTCCTCCATCCGCAGCAGCTCCGGAGCCGTCCAGAGCTTCTCTGGGGACACCGGGGGGACACTCAGGGGACAGCGGGGACACCGGGGGATACTCAGGGGACACTCAGGGGACGCTCAGGGGACGCTCAGGGGACAGCGGGGGATACTCAGGGGACACTCAGGGGACACGTCAGGGGACAGCGGGGATGGGTCGGGGACAGCGGGGACACCGGGGGGACATTCAGGGGACGGGTCAATCGGGAACAGCCGAGGACACCAGGGACACTCAGAGGACACCGGGGACACTCAGGGGACAACGGGGATGGGTCAGGCTGGGGACACAGGGGACTCAAGGGGACACTTAGGGGGGACACTCAGGGGATACTCAGGGAACGCTTTGAGGACACTCGGGGAACACTCAGGAGACACTCAGGGGATACTCAGGGAATACTTTGAGGACACTCAGGGGACACTTTGGGACACTCAGGGACACTCGAGGGGTCTCACTGGCGAACAGCGCGTGGCTGTCGTCGCCGTCGGGGGTGACACGGAAACTCTCCAGGCCGTAGTCCGTGATCTTGAGCACGAAGCGCGAATCCACCACGCAGTTGGAGGATTTGAGGTTCCCGTGGGACACGATGACCCCGCTGTGCAGGAACTGCATCCCCTGGGGGGCACAGAGGGCTGGGACACGGCCGGACCCCCGTGGGGTGGGGGTGTCTGTGGGGTGGGGGAGACCCCTGCGGGATGGGGACCCCCACAGGCTGAGGATCCCCCCGGGAATGTCCCCAATACCTTGACGATGTCGTGGGTGAGGGAGTAGCGGAACATCCAGTCCAGGGTGATGCTCTCGTTCTCCAGGATGTCCTGGGGACACGGGGGTGAGGGGCAGCCCCAGGCCGGGGGTCCCGGTGCCATCACAGCCCTCGGGGGGTTCACGGTGCCCCCTCAGCCCCGGGGGGGTCCCGGGGGGTCCCGGCCGTACCTGCAGGCTGCCCCGCGGGCAGTACTCGGTCAGGATGCAGATGTTGGGCGGGTCGGTGCAGGCGCCGATGAACCGGGTCAGGTGCTCGTTCTGCACGTCCCGCATCTGCCGGGGACAGCGGGAGGGGGGGTGGGCCGGGGTCCCGCCGTGTCCCCCCCTTCCCCCGGCCCGGGGACACCCCCGGGGACACCCCCGGGGTCACCACGTACGTGTTTGAGCTCGAACAGGACCTTGCGCGTCAGCTCGATGCGTTTGCGGTTCACGTGTTTCACGGCCACCAGGTTACCCTGGGGGGGACACGGGGGACACGGGGGTGGGGACACGGCGGGAGGGGACACAGCGGGAGGGGACACGGGTGTCCCCCCTGCTCCCCCTCCCCCCGTACCTTGTAGTAGGCGGTCTTGGCGTACACCTGGAACTGCCCTTCCGTGGTCATCAGCGAGCCGTAGTTGGAGCCTCTCTGTGTGCGAGGGGCGCGGGGTGAGCCCGGGCACCCCAACCCTCCCTCCCGGTCCCCGAGAGGGTCTGTGGGGTGACCCCGGCCCCCCACGACCCCCGGTTCCCCCCGGTACCCACCAGGGACAGGGTGAGTTTGCTGCCGGCGCTCCGCAGATGTTTCTCCAGGCTGCTCATCTGCACGTCCTCCCAGCGCACCCTCCACAGCTCTGCCGCCAGCTCCTTCTCCAGCTGCAGCTTCCTGCACCGGGGGGGGCTCATGAGACCCCCACTCGTGTCCCCCAGACCCCCCCCGTGTCCCCCAGACCCTCCCTCACCTGTAGATGAAGAAGGAGGTGGCGGTGATGGCCGTGAGGATCAGGCTGACCACCAGCGACAGAATCTCCACCGTGGTCAGCGAGGCTGCAGGAGAGGAGGGGGCGGTCAGGGCCGGCCCGGGGGGGGCCTGGCGGGGTCTCCCGGCTCTCCCCCAACCCCCCCCTCACCTTTGCACTGGTGGTCGGTGTCCTCGAAGCCGCAGGGAGGGACATCGGACGGGACCGCGTTGCCCGGCCAGTGGATCTCCCGGCCCGGCACCATCTCGATCTTCTTGGTGGTGCCGTTGTAGTTGGCCACGATCTTTGGGATGGGGAGGGGGGGTAAGGAATGGGTGGGGAGAAGCCCCCGGATCCCCCCAGACCCGGCTGCCCCCTCACCGGGGCTCACCTGGAAGTTTCCCTGCTCGGGATCCATGTCCCACAGGGAGTAATCGCTCTCCCGGTCCCCCTGCTCGTCGATCTTCAGGAAGCCGGTGACACCTGGGGAGGGAGGGTGAGGGGCTGGGGGTGGCCCTCGAAGGGGGGCTCCGATCCCAAAATATCATCCTGGGAGTGGGGTTTGGGTGGGGGGACTGGCAGGAGGCGGCGGCGTGGGATGGGGACAGAGCTGGGGACAAGGATGGGACGGGACGGGACCGAGGGGCCAGGGAGGGGTCGGGGGGGCCAGGGAGGGGTCGGGGGGACCAGTCCAGGCCGGCTCTCACCGTAGAAGGTGCGGTTCCACATCTGGCGAGTGATGGCCGAGGCGTCGCTGACGGAGCCGCCGCGCTCCAGGGTCTCGTTGAGGGCCTGGGCGTAGAGCAGGACGGCGTCGTGGAAAGCGGCGGCGATGAAATTCATCTGGGGACACGGGGACAGCTCGGGGACAGCTCGGGGACAGCTCGGGGACAGCACACAGCTGCGGGTCCCTGTCCCCGGATCCGCGCCGTGTCTCCCCTGGCAGCTCCAGCTGCATCCCGTGTCCCTGGATCCTTTTATCCCCCTTGTCCCGGCTCCAACCCCGTGTCCCCATTGTCCCCAGCTCCCCGCTGTCCCCCAGCCCGGTGTCCCCGCGGTTCCGTGTCCCCCCCAGCCCGGTGTCCCCGCGGTTCCGTGTCCCACCAGTCCGTCCTTCATGGAGAAGTTGAAATGTTCCCGCGCCTCCTCCCTGAGGCGCTGCAGGAAGGGCCGGTACTCGGGGTTCTCGGGCTCCTTGTAGGTGATGATGGTGACAGCCTGCGACAGCGACAGGGGCTGGAGGGGCTGGGCAGACCCACCTGGGGGTGTCCCTGCCCACCTGGGGGTCCTGTGCCCACCTGGGGGTGTCCCTGTGCCCACCCCGCTCACCTGGAAGGCGCGGCGGGCTCGGGCATCGTGCGGGTCGCCGCGGTGCCAGGGCCGCCGTGGCTCGGGGAAGCGCTGGCCCTGCAGGCTGGCCCCGAACGTGTCGATGTAAAAAAAGGCGAAGTCGCCGCCCGTGAGCCCCTCGCGCTCCGCCTGCAGCATCAGCTCCCGCAGCGTGTCCGGGGCGCAGCACACGTACACGACTGGGGGGACACGGCCCTTGGAGTGCGGGACCCCCGGGAACCCGGAGACCCCAGACCCACATCCCGGGGGTCCCTGGTTGTTGTGTGACACCAGCCCGAGACCCCCAACACCCCCTAGAGACCCCCGGAGACCCCAGCCCCGCATCCTCGGGCCCCCGGCCGTTGCGTGACTCGGGTCTGGGCTGCGGTGCCCCCGGGGCGGGGGGTCCCGACCCCGCTGCCGGCCCCCCCCCGTGCCCTGCCCGGCGCTGCCCTCGGCGCCAGGCCGAGGTTTCCTGTTTTCCCGACTCCGTTTCCTCCTCCCCGCGGCCCTGATGGATTCCCGGCGACACCGTGACCCCGGGGGTGCCGCCTGGCCCCCGGCACGGCCCCTCCAGCCGTGCCACCCCCGGGACCCCAAAATGCACCCACGCCCACCCCGGGGCTCCCGGTGCCAGCCGGGGCTGGAGCGATTCCACGGGACGGGACAGAGCCAGCCCGGGACACCGGGACAGGTGACAACGCCCGGAGAGCCCCGGGGGGACACGGAGGGGTCCGGGGGGTCTGGAGGGGCAGGAGCAGCGCGAGGGTGTGCGGGACACGGCTGTGACAGCCGGGAACAGCGGTGAACAGCCGTGAACAGACATGAACAACTGTGGACAACCATGAACAACTGTGGACAACCATGAACAACCGTGTAAAGCCATGAACAGCCGTCAAAAAACGTGTACAGCCATGAACAGCCGTCAAAAAACGTGTACAGCCATGAACAGCCACGAGCAACCATGAACAACCGTGTACAGCCGTGAACAGCCACGAACAACCGTGAATAACCGTGTACAGCCGTGAACAGCCATGAACAACCATAAACAGCCACGAACAACTGTGGACAACCATGAAGAACCATGAACAACTGTGAACAACCATGAAAAGCCGTGAACAACCATGAACAACCATGGACAGCCGTCAAAACTCCTGTACAGCCATGAACAACCATTAACAACTGTGTACAGCCATGAACGACCACGGACAACCGTGAAAAACCGTGTACAGCCATGAACAACCGCGCACAGCTGTGTGCAGATGTGTACGGCCGTGACACCTGCGAACAGCCACGTACAGCCGTGAACAGCCACAGAAACTCCCCTGCACAGCCCCGTCTGGCCACGGACACCTGCGGACACCCACGAACACCCGCGCAAACCCCGCGTGGGCACAGCCGGGCACACCCAGCCCACGCCAGCGCCCAGCTGCGAACACCCCTGTAAAAGTTGTGCGCAGCCATGTATGGCCATGAACACCCGCGGGCACCCACCCAAGCCTGGCACGCACCCACGGGCACCGGCGTGGGGCCGCGTCCCCCTCCCCGCGTCCCCCGGCACTCACTGCGCCCCTTGGCCTTGATCTCCTGGATGATGAAGGAGAAGTTGCCGCCGTCGCGGAACACCACGTCCATGACCGTGAGGTTGCGCAGGGTGGGCAGCTGGACGTACAAACCCTCGGCGGCGAAGTAATAGGGCCGGTCATCCACCCGCTCGTCCCAGTACACGAGCAGCGCCCGCCGCGTCCAGTTGAAGCGCCGGTGCAGCTGCACTCCCAGTTCGCCCAGTTTGCGGTGGCTGGGGCCGGCGCGGGTGGTCAAACCGAACTCCTCGCTCTTGTCGTCGAAGCCGTGAGCTTCGGCCCCCGCCGTGACCAGCGGCAGCTGCCAGTGGCTGGTGAACCGGGCCACGGGAGCCGCCGAGTAGACGCACCCCGGCCCCAAAAACGCGGCGGGGTGATGGGCGAGCCGCAGGTCCACGGCCACCAGCGGCGCGGCCATTTCCGAGCAGACCCCGTGGCGATCCTCGCTGTTGCCGAACACCCAGCCCAGGGTGAAGCCGGGCAGCAAATCCCGCCGGGAATTCACGGCGGCCGCGGCCAAGCGCACGGCGGGACCCACGCGCGGCCAAGCCCACGGGTAGGTGAGGTTGTGCTGGGGCAGAACCACGGCGAGGGTCAGCGGGGCCGGGGCCGTCACCGCGCCCGGGAGCGGGGCCAGCAGCGGGGCCAGCAGCGGGGCCAGCAGCGCGGCCAGCGCGGCCAGCATCGCCCACGGACGGAGAGTGGCTTCCAACCCCCCCCCGCGGCGGGGCTGAGCCCTTGCTCGCCCCCCCCACTGGTGACACAAAGGGCCGTTATCATCCACACCGAGCTTAACTCCTTCCTGCCCGCTCCCCCCACGGCATTCCAGCCGGGATGGGCGGCGGATGGGGCCGCCCGCTGGCGGGTGGGGAGATTCCCACCCGTGGGGCGGTGGGACGGGGTTTGGGGTGGGGGGAGCGATGTCCTGGGACGCGTCCCCTCCCTGCTTTGGGTCCCGGCTGCCGCTACCAAGCAGGTGCCGCTGCTGAGCCGGTCACGCGTGGGGCGCTGAGAAACTCGTTGGGGTTTGCGGGGCACATCCCCACCCACGGACCCCGCGCTGTCCCCAGGCAGTCCCGGGGCCTTCGTGCAGCTCTGGGGGGCCCGGGTGGAACTCGGACACCTCTGGCCCCCCACGCCCGTGGGAGGTTCTGCCCCGCGGAGGGGTCACGGCAGCCCCAGGGCGAGGGGGGTGACCCCCGAGATGTCACTCGGGGGTTGCGCTGCTGCTGGGGACACTGGCAGCGCTCGGGGGGCACGGACAAAGGTGGGGGACACGCGTGGGTGGGGGGACACACGCAGGAGGACGCACTCAGGTGCGGGGACGCCCGCAATGACCCTGCCACGGCGCACCCGCAGCTCCCGGGGACGCGAGTGGGGTAAGACCCGTGACACCGTAACCCCACGCGAGACAAGCCTGGACAAGCATTCCGGAGCATTAAGAAGTCAACGTCGCAAATAAAAAAAAACGTTAATGAGCAAAACAAGCCTCACGTGGAGTCGGGAAGGAGAAAAAAAATCCCAGCTAGCAGAGGATGGTTTCGATCCATCGACCTCTGGGTTATGGGCCCAGCACGCTCCCGCTGCGCCACTCTGCTGCTGCCTGCTGTCCTCTGCCGGGCGCGCTATCAGCGCGGCGCCGCGCGCTCCATTCATGAACCCCGCGCCCCCTCCAGCGGCCGCCGGGAGCGCGTCGCCATTGGGCAATTCCTGCTGTGATTGACAGGCGGCTTCACCAATGGCTGTGGGAGAAGCGCCCGCGGGAGGTGGGCTGGGACAGAGCGGCGGCCAATGGGAGGGCGGGTTGCTGCGGGGTCTGCGAGCGGCGGTTCATTGTCGGCAGCGGCGGCGACATGAGGTGGGGACAGCGGGACCGGGGGGACACCGGGACCGACACCGGAGGGGGCCGGGAGGGGACCGAGACCTTGGCGGGAGGAACTGGGGGGACAGCGGGACCGGCACCGGAGGGGGCCGTGGGGAGCCGAGACCGGGATGGACACCGGGACCGACACCGGAGGGGGCCGGGAGGGGATCGAGACCTTGTCAAGAGCGGGACCGGGACGATACCGGGATTAGGGGAGGATGGGGGGAAGCGCAGGGACAACCGGGACCGGGGGGGATCGGAACCGGGGAGAACAACCGGGGGGAGGATCAGGACTAAGGGGAACCGGGGGAGCAGCGGGGCCAGGAACGAAACCGGGGATGGGGCGGACCCTGAATGGGACCGGGGAGCACCGGGGGAGCCAGGGATGGACCGGGGAGCACCGGGGATGGACCGGGGAGCACCGGGGATGGACCGGGGAGCGCCGGGGGAGCCGGGGATGGACCGGGGAGCACCGGGGATGGACCGGGGAGCACCGGGGGAGCGGGCCCGGGTCTCGGAGCCCCTCCGGTCACCGCCGCTTCCGTTCTCTCTCCGCAGGGGCGATCGAGGCCGCGGCCGCGGTGGCCGCTTCGGTTCCAGGCGAGTGTCGGGGCCGGGCCGGGTGCCTGCATGTCGCGACAGGACCGTGTCGTGACGGGGTCGGGAGGGAGGGGCGCAGGGAATGAAGCGGGGTTTTCTCTCCCCTTTAGGTTCCGGCCCTTTGTGCCCCACATCCCCTTCGACTTCTATGTGGTGAGTGACCCCCGAGGGTGATTCCCGGGAATTTTCCAGGAATTTTCCAGGATTAACCATCCCCCCCCATCCCGGATTTGCGGGGGTTGGGTTCTCGTGGTGTGGCTGAATGAGAATTAATTCCCTAGAAACGCTGTTGGTTCAGTAAAAAAAAAAAAAAAAAACACCCTGTAAAAAATAAACCCTTCAGTAAAAAACCCACACTAGAGGAGTTTTGTCCTGTTGGGAATTGGGACAATGGGAATAATCGAGTCGAGGGATAATGACATAAAGCGCTCCAGGATTGGGGTTTTTGGGATTTTAACTGGTGAATCCCAGCACTGAGGTTTGTCCCCTCCTCCTCAGGGTGATGCTCGTACCTGTCACTCCCCTCAGGTGTTCACGTGCCTGTTTCCCACCTTTCCCAGGAGGAAATCATTCCCTCCTCCCAAATTCCCTGAGTTTCTACCCTCTGGACAGGTGACTCCAAGTGGAGTAATGAGTTAATTTAATCAATTTTTAAATTAAACCCTCTGGATCTGTCCTGGAGATGCACAGGTGGGAGCTCCTGGACACCTGAGCAGCTCCTTTGGGCTGACAGGAGCCGGGGGATGAAATCCTGGTGGGAATTGTGTCCTGTTCCAGTGTGAGATGGCATTTCCCCGTGTCAAACCCGCAGCAGATGAGACAGCCTTCAGCGAGGCCCTGCTCAAGAGGAACCAGGATCTGGCTCCCACTGCTGCTGAGCAGGTGCTGTGCCCAAAATTCCCCCCAGCTCCTTGGGATGGCGCCTGGGGAATCCGAAATCCTTCAGGATTTGGCCTAAAAAATTAATTAGTTCTGTGGAATAAGCGCCTTGGAGGGGTTTTGTGGAGAATATGGATTCTGTGCTCTGCAGATGGGATTGTTCCAGGTGTTCCTGAATAATCCTTGTCCTGTTCTTTCCTTCCCAGGCTTCCATCCTGTCCCTGGTGACCAAGATCAACAACGTCATCGACAATTTAATTGTGGCACCGGGAACGTTTGAAGTGGTGAGTGCAGAGGTTGGGAAGAGGCTGGATGAGGCCCCGAGTGGTGGGACTGGGAAAATGGGAAGATGCTCCTGGCCCAGGCTCGATGCTGACCCCACCAAACCGTGACATTTGGGTTGAATTCCCGGGATTTTGGCTTGTTCTCCCGCCAGCAAATCGAGGAGGTTCGCCAGGTGGGCTCCTACAAGAAGGGCACGATGACGACGGGGCACAACGTGGCGGACCTGGTGGTGATCCTGAAGATCCTGCCCACCTGTGAGTGCCACCTGGGCGGGCTGGGAGCGGCCCTCGGTGCCAGGCCCCGCTCCAACCCTTCTTTTCCATCTCCTTTTCCCAGTGGAAGCCGTGGCAGCCTTGGGGAACAAGGTTGTGGAGAGCCTGCGGGCGCAGGACCCCGGTGAAGGTGAGGCCTCGCTCCGTTCCCGTTCCCGTGGCCGATTCCCAGCCCCTCCACGTGGAATTCCCGGTGGAATTCCCGGTGTTTCCCCTCAGTGCTGACCATGCTGACCAACGAGACCGGCTTTGAGATCAGCTCTGCCGACGCCACGGTGAAGATCCTCATCACCACGGTGCCGCCCAACCTGCGCAAGCTGGACCCGGAGCTGCACCGTGAGCGCCCGGCCCCGCCTCCCGCAGCCTCTCCGGGAAAAAAACCAACCAAACAAACAAAAAAATCCGGGAATTTCTGCTTCTTGCAGTGGACATCAAGGTGCTGCAGAGCGCCCTGGCTGCCATCCGGCACGCACGCTGGTTTGAGGAGAACGCCTCGCAATCCACGTGAGTCTGCAGAGCCAGGGCTGCATCCAAATCCTGGTTCCTGGTGTGGGGCTGAGCCTCCTCATCCTCCTCCTCTTCCTCCTGCCTCTGCCCCAGGGTGAAGGTTCTGATCCGGCTGCTCAAGGACCTGAGGATTCGCTTCCCTGGCTTCGAGCCGCTCACGCCCTGGATCCTGGACCTGCTGGTGGGGGTTGCTGATGGGCCAATCCCAATCCTGATCCTCTGATCCTGGCAGGAGTTGGGATTTTCACCTCGGGCTGGGATTGTTCTGTTGTTCCTGCCCTAATTCCTGTCCCTTTCCCTCTGCAGGGGCACTACGCCGTGATGAACAATCCCACCCGGCAGCCCCTGGCCCTCAACATCGCCTACAGGTGCAGAAATTTCCCGCTGGAATCTCACAGGCTGGCTGGGAGATAAATCCAGCTCGTCCAGCTGGGATTTCCTGGCGCTGTTTTTGCTGGAAGGATCCAGTTTTTAACCCTGAATGTGCCGTGTGCAGGCGCTGCCTCCAGATCCTGGCGGCTGGGCTCTTCCTGCCGGGCTCCGTTGGGATCACGGATCCGTGTGAGAGCGGGAATTTCCGGGTGCACACGGTGATGACGCTGGAGCAGCAGGTCAGGAAGGGTCCCCGAAGGGCAGGGGGGGATCCCTGTCCCCACCCTGACCCGTCCCTCTGTCCCTTGTCCCCAGGACATGGTGTGCTACACCGCCCAGACCTTGGTGCGCATCCTCTCCCACGGGGGGTACCGGAAAATCCTGGGACAGGAGGGCGATGCCAGCTGTGAGTGGGGACCAGGGTGGGGTGTCCGGGTGGGGGGCACGGGGCTGGGATTCCCCCAGAAGGTCCCCAGGGTCACCTTTCGGGGCAGACCTGGCGTCCGAGATGTCCACGTGGGACGGGGTGATCGTGACGCCGTCGGAGAAGGCGTACGAGAAACCTCCGGAGAAGAAGGAAGGGGAGGAGGAGGAGGAAAACCAGGAAGAGCCGGCGGCGGGAGAGGAGGAGGAGAGCATGGAGACGCAGGAGTGAGGGCCCAGTGACACCTGGGACAGGTGAGGGGACCCCAGCCGAGGGGTCTGGACCCCTCCTCACTCACCTGCCGTGTCCCTGTGCCCTGTCCCTGTTTTGTAAGTTGCACATTAAAGTGTCCCCCCTTTCCAGCGTGTGCTGTTTGTTCAGATCCATGGGGGACAGGTGGGAATGAGGCAGGTGGAGAAGCAGGAGAGAGATCCGAGGCTTGAAGGAGCCACCTGGAGCTGCCCAGACCCCACCTGGGGCAGCCAAAATCCCACCTGGACCTCCCACATTCCACCTGGGAGGTGTCGAAATCCAACCTGGAGGTGCCCAGACCCCCCTGGCAGCACCTGCCTGGCTCTGTTTGTCCCCAAGGCCCCTCAGGGACGTGGGAGCATCACGGACTCTCAGTCACTTTTATTCCAGCGCCCACAAATCCGGGAACAAGCATGGAGTGTCCCAGTTCCCTCAGCTGCAGGTGATGGGGGACACCCCCTCAATTCCCCTGGGATTAACAGGATTCCCGCTGTCCTGGCCGCTCACTTGGTCACTTGCCCTGGTAGCCCCCGGCCTCCAGCATCGCCCTCCTCCGCACCGTCTCCTTGGCCACGCTGTGGTTCAGCCTCCGCAGCCGCTCCTGGACACGCCAAAATTCACCTGTGAGCACCTGGGGGAGGGGCTCTGGGACCCCCAAAACCCCCTGTCCCCCCTCACCTGGGCGTTCTGCAGGATGTTGTTGACCAGCACCACGCGGCGCCGGGCGTTCAGCAGCTTCTTCACGTAGGGGTCGAGGTCCAGCGCCACTTTCTGGTCCTCGTTGATGCGGCAAAGCTCTGGGGAAGGGGTTTGGATGAGCCCCCCCTGCACCCCCACACCTTGGTGGGGAACAGGGGTGATCCCCCAGGTTTAACTCACCTGTGGCCAGGCTGTCGATGTGCTCCCGCAGCTCTACCTGGCTCTCCCTGTGAAGGGGAGGGACAGGTAAAAACCCTGGATCCACACCACAAATCCATCCCTGTCCCCCCACCCCAAATCCATCCCTAGCCCCCCACCCTAATATGGGGCCTGCATACCCAGCACCCTCCAACCACCAATCCCTCAGCACTGCCCACCTCACGTACCCCCAAACCCCTCCATCCCCACAAAACTGCCCTTCCCGGCTCTACCTGCCCCTCAGCCTTTCAGGCCGGCCCGCCCCGCTCCCGGCCCGTCCTGCCCCGCTGCCGGCCCCTCCCGGCCGCTGTCCCTGCCCGCACCTGACGCTGTGGACGTGGCGGTCGAGCTGTCGCACCGCGGGTCGCAGGAATTGCAGGAGCCCCTCAGCAAAAAGCTCCCGCGCCCCGGCGCCGCTCCCCGCCGCCATCTTGGCCCACAGGCACCGCGGGAGCTGCCGGGAAAGCGAGTCCGCGGGGAACGGGCGGTGCCGCTTCCGGTGCGAGCTGTGGGGGCTGCTGGGAAACCGAGTCCGCGGGGAACGGGCGGTGCCGTTTCCGGTGCCGGCTGCGGGGACTGCTGGGAAACCGAGTCCGCGGGGAGCAGGAGAGGCCGCTTCCGGTGCGGGCTGCGGGGGCTGGTGGGAAATGTAGTTCCAGGGGAGGGTGCGAGGGAACAGCTGGGTGCACATCTGGAAACGCATCTGGCGGCACAACTGCATTGCTGAGCATCCGTCAAAGGCGCTGACGCACCCAGGCCAAAGACTCCAATCCCATCCGTTAAATAATGGTTAAAACAACGTGGTGTTGGTCCTTTCACCTTGCTTTTTTGCCTTAAAAAATTTTTTTTTGGTTTATTTTCATACAAAAACCAAACCAGGAGGTGGAAATCAGCACCGAGGGCCACACACCCCGACCCCATCCATTGAAAAACATTTTTGGTCATTTTGCTTCATTTTTTTTTTCCTCTTTTCTGGCTGCTCCTTCCAGGAGTCAGGCGTGGGCGTCGGGCAGGGCGTGCAGGACGTGGTCGAGCAGCTGCAGGGCGCGGTGCAGGTGCACCTCGATCCAGCAGGGCGTGCAGGTGATGCTGGCCCGGGGGTAGTCGGGTCCCCAGCCCTTAACAAAGCTCAGCCTAACGAGGCACAGGCGCCGCAGGTCATCCACACCGAGCCCCGCGGCCACCGACAGCCCTGGGGGGGTGACACGGTCAGCACGGGGGTCACAGCCCATCAGGGATGGTCAGTGGCCACTGATAGCCCCGGGGGTCGTCAGGGGGGTCCTGTGGTCACTCACCGATGGCCGGGGCGATGCCACCCACCGAGCCGGGCCCGGGGATGCTGCCGGCCACCGCGGCAGCCTGGGCAGTGGCCGCAGCCTGGGCAGTGGCCGCCTGCTGCTGCATCTGCCGGTGGCACTGGCGCAGGTCAAACACCTGGGGGGGGACACGGGGGGACCCCTGAGCGGGGCGGATTTGGGGTGGGGGGATACCCCAGGATCCCCTTCAGCATCGCCACAGGGCATCTCCCACCCAGGGACACTTTTTGGGGGTCACCTCCCACCCAAATATCCCCTCTGGATGTCACCCCTCAGGTGGGAATCCTCCCTCAGAGTCACCTGAGCATCCTTCCACTGCCCCCCCTCCATTGCCCAGCACCCCCTAAATTGGGCACAGAACCCCTGGGGTACCTGGGGACCCCCACCTTGACGTGTGCCCCGGGGTACACCTTGTGCACGGCGTCACCGGGGGCTCTGCCCGCCTCCCTGTCCAGGTAAAAGCTCTGCACGAACACGGCGTGCTGGCTCCGGCAGCGCATCCACACGTCCCCCTCTCCTCGCCGCTCCAGCTGCACCCCCTTGCCGATGTGCAGCCTGGCCGGGACCCTCAGCACGGATCCACCCGTTCCACCCCACCGCCTTATCCTTGGTTATCCCATTTTTTTTTCTCCTCATTTTCCTCATTATCTCCCCACCTCCCGCCCTGATTATTCCTGGTTCCCTCTTTTCTCCCCTCACTCCCCATTTTTCCCCCCCACATCCCTCCCTTTCCCCTCTGATTCTTGCCCTTTTCCTCTTTCTCCCTTAATTACCCCAATTTCCCCTTTCTTCCCTAATTATTCCCCATATCCCCTTTCTCCCCTAATTACCCCAATTTCCCCCTTCTCCCCTAATTATCCCCCATATCCCCCTTCTCCCCTAATTATCCCCTTCTCCCATTTATCTCCCAAACTCCCCCATTACCTTGACCATTCCCTCCCGTGTCCCCC